AAAAAAAAAAAAAAAAAAAAAAAGAACGGATAAAAAGGAAAGTTACGACTCGCGTGGAAAGTGTGAACGAAATTTCATCCGTTCCATACATGTATGTATGTATGTATATATGTACGTACGAGGGATTGTACAAAAGGACACAAGTGGGTCGCGTGATCTAAAATAAGGGAAAAGACAGAAAGAAAAAAAAAAAAAAAAAAAAAAAATGAAGCGGGTCCGTTGGAGCTTGTTCGAGCAAACAGACGGTTCGCGCTACTACTGGTGACAGTGCTACTTCGGCTCACTATCAGGCGAAAGCACTATTCAATTTCCTGCTATCTCATCGGCCTGTGCACCCTTCCACAAGGGTCCGCCCTACCAGACTGCCAGGATCGATGTGCTGGAACCCATCCCCGTCTTTTGTACAAAAGCACTCCGCGCCTCTCTCGAACGCTTCCGTTTTAAATACGCGCCATATTCGTGTAACCCTTTTGTCCCGTGGTGCTCATGTGGAGCACGATTTTTCCATTCGGACGACGATCAAAAAAAAAAAAAAAAAAACGCGGAAGCTAATTTCAAATCCGCGAACGCTGCCTCGGTTGCGTTTCTCTAATAAACGCTCGAGCGTTTTAGCGATGTTTTCTTCGAGTAAGTTCTTTAAATCTTTCGGCACGGTTAATTTTTGTATTTTTATCACTTGACAGCTTCCTTTTCGAGATTTAATCGGCAGAGGATCTGGCGTGGCGCGGCTTTCATTAGGATTAAGAATCCTTTGCGTTCGCTTCAGAGACAATGACACGTCAATTAAATCAATGTGATAATTAAACGTGGATGTTTGTCCATTTACGAGCGAATGCTGAATTACGAGGATGCATGAAATTTACATGGTACACGAAGATATGCACGTCGTGTAATATTCACGGACAAATATTTATTTAGGCTTTATTGCTTCGGTTCAGTGTTCGTACTCTGTTGAACGAGCTATGGAACTCAAATAGTTTTCTAATATCTGCGAGGGATGAATTAACTCGTTGGAATACTCTCTGCGTAAATTCCATTCCATTCCGGGATATATACGACCGTGAGCACATGAATCTACGCGAATCTAGCGCAGTTTAAAATAAGAATGAATTAGCGTGGTAAATCCGAAATAATTTCGTTGCCTCGATATCCGCTTTTGAGGAACTGAGGACCGCATTAGTATACGTATCACGACCAGCAACAACATTCCGCGCGAGGATCTTTCGTACGAGTGTTCCAAACAACCCTATCTGCATCGTAAACCTCCGGGTCAAGACGATCCTGACCCACATGTGGTCCATTGAATAAGAATCATCCTGACCTACATGCCGCTTGACAATCGACTTTCTCCATTTGGAGAACAATCATTCCACGGGATCCTTTGACCGGCAAAAAGATACTTGCACTTTGACACACCGAAATATATATATATAAAGTGTAAAACATTTTTGAATTGTGTTGTTCAAATTGAAAATTTACCTGAAAATGTATACGTATGGAAGTTAGTAAAAAATTACTAGTACGAATAGCCTGTCTCAAGCAAGTTGTTGCGTTCTTTCAGATTGTAAAATATCTCAGGTCTAAGCACAAAATGATTAAATCTTTTGTAAATGTAAATCCTTTCTGTTTGCTGAAATGAGTATACAATATGAAGATTCGAGGATCGCACCATTAAAGATGAACTTTTCTTAAATATCCTACAATTCTTAAATTTCCAAAACTGTCTATAAGTGTTCAAATACTTCTGTGAGCAACTACAAATAAAATTGATTTGATTTGGCAAAAATACGAATCAATCTCGGTCTCCGGTTTTGGAATTAAAACCAGGACTTGGACAGATCTTAAAATCGCGACGTCTTTGATTCGATCGTCGATAGTCGCGTGTCGAATTTCTCGCGTTCGCCTGGCAGAAAACACGGACAGGGAATTTACGATTTGGCACACACGCCTTTGTCATATATTCGCGATTGTTGGAAACGTTGAGGATACAGCGGATACAAAGGTTGAAACTTCGCCGATGTATTTGACCCTGGGCACAATGAGGCCAATCAGCCCATTCTGAATAGCTCATTGACATGTACGTAACGTCGACGGTGAACACACAGTTCCACAGGGTCAATTACACCCGACGAGAAATTAACTCGCTGGTGATTCGACCTCGCGTCAACGACGGAGAACGAGCTGCCGCTTAATTTGAATTTCGAAGGATCTGCGAGTTCTTCTCGCGCCTCGAAATTTCATTCCTTTAGAACACGCTTTCCTACGAATATTT